GTTGGAAGCCTCAGGCCTTCGCTAGGGGTAACAAACGGCCGATGGGGTCACCGGCGCGCGGGTGAACCCCAGGTACCCCACCTTGGAGGAGAGGGTTTCCTCCACTATCGTGGTTTTTCGGGGGAACCTTCCCTCACTCCAAGGTAACGGATTCGCGGACCAAGGAAACGCCCTTGGTCAGGACACTTCCGATCGAGCACTCAAAGACATCGGTTCTTTGCAACGACTTCCGAACGAGCTCTCAGAGACATCGGTTCTCTTGAAAACAGTTCTCTTCGAATCATCAACACGCCACGGTTCCTTTCGAACGTAGACCGTCGTAGAGGCGACGCTTTTCTGCTCGTGCAACTGAAACAGTTGCCCAATATTCATTTGGCGGGCAACACGTGTCGTAGTCGCGAGACGGCCGTACAACCTGTCCCTGAAACACGAGAGTTTAGATCGCAACGCGACGCGACATTTATTTTTGTCATACTTATTTTCTTTTGAATATTTATCATAATTTACTAAGTCACCTTCATAATCAAATAATATTTCTTTCTCACGATACACTTTAAATTGGTTATCATTAAATTGTTCAGCAAATCTAATAGTATTGTTATTACCTTCTTTCAATTACAAGTGATTATATGTAAAAATCCTACTAAATGTTGTTACATATATATAAGTATAAAGGGTGATAATATGCCGGAACATGGAAAAGAATTAAGAAACTATAAAGAAAGAACACAAGAATATTAAAGAGCAAATAAATATGATTTAAAAAGTGTACCAAACGAGAATTAAATTTTATTCTAAACGTTGATAGTAAATATATATTTGATTGCCGAAGATGCCGACAGAAAGACAAAAAGATTTTATTAAAGGATATGGTAAGGTATGTCTTAACATAGGAATTACATGATTAAAAAGTGTAACTAATGTTGTACAATATGAATGATTATATTTAAGAGAGAATCATAGAGATATGTTTAATGATTCGATAGGTAATCAAGATGTAGAAATAATTGCATTATAGATATTAATAAAATGTTTGAAATATAATTACAAATACTTCCTAAGCATGAAAAATTGAAAATGATGACTAAAAATCTATATTATATATAGATATTTTCCTTGTTCTAAGAGAAGAACATGATATAGTATACTAATTAGAAAGCAGTGGCAACTTCGTGAGCTTTCAAGTTAAATACGGGAAATTTTAACAGAGATAAAAATATAAATTTTACTAATGAGGAATTAGAAAATTTACTAGAACAACCCCGTAGTTTTGTTTATAAGGATAATAAATATGTATTAGGACCAGAAATCAATGAATATCAAACTAAATTAGAAGAATATGAAGTAAAACAAATGATACCTTCTATATTATTAATGAAGGGTGAATATAAAGAATTTGGTAAACATTCTACTTTAAATAAAACGAAAGAAGTTTATACAGAATTATTTAATGGTAATGTTTCTGAGCAAGAACTTAGACAAGTAGGAATTAAAATATTGTATTCAAAAATTATTTCTGATTGAGACCAAACAGCAGATACTAATACAACTTATAAACTTAAAGAAAAATCTAAAACTACTGTAATTACTGAACAAAGAGAATTAGCTACTTCTATTAGTGCTGCACGTGGCGAAGAATAATATAAAAATTAAATAATTAAATATTCTCTTCTTAATTTTATTAAGGAGGTATATGACGGCTTGGCCAGGTTTATCAAAAACTTTAGTTACTAGTGGAAAGGGTCCAACAGAAAAAGTAACTTTAGTTATAATGGAAGCACAATCACGTCGTGTATTAACTAATGAAATGATATTAATATATTTAACAACAACTGTAACACCATATCAAGTTAGTAACTTAACTGGTGCAGGAATGCCTATTTATAGTGCCGTTGCTCGAACAGTATGATGTTTTCTGCATGATATGATACTGCTGGAACAATGAAACAAGTAGGAACAGTAAAAACAACAAGTGTAGTTTTAGATCAAATGTTACATATTCATTGAAAAGAAACTGAATTAGACATCGAATGGTTCTTACCTTCTACACCAGGTACAGCTGCGACTATGGTTAGGGGTTGAGTTTCAGGTATAAGAGATAATTCATTTTATAATTTAGAATTGAGTTCCTTACAAGGTATTAAAGATAATTGTATAGCAAAATCATTAGTGTTACCTAAAGACTCACTAAGTTCGACACCAGAGCCTGCAAGAGAAGCATATTATGAAAGTGGGTATAAAAATAAAACTAATTAATTTAAAAAATTACAGATATTATGATTGGTGGTAGTAAATCAGATACTATTGGAGCATATAGAATTGATGGAACATTACGAATGACAGAAGCATTTGAATGATCAAGTTACTCACAAATTGCTGAAGATCCTGTAACAACTGGAAAATTATATAAAACATCACTAATGGGTATAGGAATAAATGAAAGTTCCTTTTTAGACCAACATTTTCTTCATAGTACAGAAACACGAATATCCTTATCTGCTATGCATTTAGATAAAAATCATATCTTAAATAATATGTTGGGAACAAAGGTCAGCAGGTATATCTGAAGAATGCATATTCCATTTGACGAAATTATCATTTTGTTGTCCCAAATACTGGAAATATGGAATGAATTGGTAAATATTTATATTCAGTACCTACTTCAATTAGACCAGATTGAATGTTTATTATTATGGCTAAAATGCCAACAGTTGGTGGTGTTAATAATGCAAAACATAAGGAATGAATTAAAACAGATAATAAACTACCTGCAATCTTCGAAAGAACTGATTAATGTGATTCGACTTTAAATTGAGAAAATGTAATTTATTGTAAAGATTTAGGAAAAATTACTATAGCTGGTAATACTCCTGCTAGTGGTGAACTAGATATTGCAACAGTGAATGCAGGTAATATTGGAATTGCACCTTAACATGCAAAATATGATGTAATAACATATACCTCTGCTATTATGACTGGTATTGGTACTGATTATATTGGGATAGTTAAATTAACTTATACTAAGGCGTAATATAATGACTTCTGTTTATGATATTTTTAATATTAAATCACATATAATTATCAATTCGCCAAAGCCAGCAGATTTAAATAGTCTACAAAATATATTAGCAACATTTTTTTATGAATTTCCAACATTAATTCCTAATTATGTAAGAATAAGTAATGTATATATTAATTTTGCTGTTTGTGTTGGAAAAAATATCAATTACAGAGGTAAAATACTTGTACAAATTAAAAATTCTGCTAAACGATTAAAAGGAGGAGATATACATGCCACATGTGCAGACTACACAATTGATTAATTACACTTTATTAAAAATGATACGCTCATGAATTAGTCCATTATTTGGTATGATAGGTATTTCTGCTTTTTATGGTCAACTTATAGGTTATCCCATATAAGGTTCAATTAATAGATTATTATTTGGTAAAAACTTTGGTTTAGGTGCATGAAATTTAAATCAAAGACCAATTAATTGTGCGAAAGCAATCAATAGTAGCAAGATAATATTATTATGTTTAGGAGCTATTTGTGCTGCAAATGATAATGTGTTTATTAATAATGAAATTTATCCAAATCCTAATCAATTTGCAGCTAGAACACCAGTTAATCCATTTCCAGATAATTTATTATTAACTACTAATAATACTGACAATCGTTTATGGATTCAGGTACTCATATAACTTTAAATCAATATGGTATTTCCAATCATATTAGTGGTTTAACTGAGTTAATAACTAATAGATTTGAAACGATCGGTAAGATAGGAAATATAGGCACTGGTGTCTTAATTCAACTGGTGTTGCTATGGGTATTAATAATGAGTTTAATAATACTTATAACATTCCTACAATTATTTCCGGAGCAAGTGAAATTGCACATAATTTATTACATATCGAAACTAACCATGATACTGAATTGCAAGGAACATCTATAGAAGAACAGGCAAAATTAATAAAGGATAGTTTAGGTAAATGTGGTAGTGATGATATGAGTGAAGTACCATTGAATTATGAGAATGCTTCATTAACTTGAGATTATAGTCACATGGGTTTATAACGTTACCTTTAATTATTGATTGAAAGCATTATGCTTCAGCAAGTATAGATATTAAATCGTCATTAACAAATGTTTTGAAACAATATTATAAAGATCAATTATTAAAAGTAATATTTGATAGAGAGAATGTTGGTGAAGGAGAAATACATCAAACTTATACATGTACATATCGAAATATACATAAAATATTAATAAGCGTACTAGAACCATGTGAATTATCTGCATTACAAAACCAAATTTAGAAATTTAGAAATCCAATAAATAATTTTAAATGTTCTATTATATTATCAGGAATTATAACTGTTAAAAATTATGTAAATAGGGAAAATAATTTATTTAAAGGAAGTGAAGCAGAAATCCCTGATTGTGAATGAGAAGTATTATCTATTTCATGATTTAAAGGAGGAAGATATACTGTTGATGATAAAAATTAAGAAATTGGAACATTAACAACATTGTTTCGAAGTGGTAACTGTAAACGAAAAGTATGATATGGCCCATGTACTCATCTATCATTTCCTCATGAAATATGAATATTAATGACACAATGACAATATGAGGTTCACAATGAAGGTATGTATGGAAACCATTATTCAAAAATTCTTTACACACACGTAAATATAGCAGAATTGAAGAAAATTTTAGTTTTCATGAGACATGAAGGTAAAAGTTTGTATGGATATAGATTTAGCAAAAGCTATTAAACCATTGGTAGATTGAATACTATGAATTCAGCATCAATATATAATAAAGAGTATAAAAGATTATATAAAATAGGATTTAATAAAAATAGATGTCACATAGATAAAATAAAAACATTAATATCAAATATTTAAAAAATTAATAGTCACATTATTGTTATGTTAATTACATCATTTTCTACAATAGCACACCTTGATTAATACCTAAAATACCATTAGCAATGGAAATAGGAAATTATATTAATCAACATAATTTTACTTGTCAGGACAATTTAACGCAAACCCTATTTCATAAACTTAATCTCGTAGGATTAAACATAAACCTCATTACGAAGTTATATAATTATGGAAAATTAATTAAATATATATTAATAACTATACAATTATTATTACAAGTCGTTATTTGATATATCAAAATAAGAAGGTTAGAAGACATAACAATGAATGCAATTAATGTTAACATCATTCAAATAAAATACAATTGGAGGAATAACGAATGAATTTTGCAATGGAGTTAGTTTCAGCAGTAATAAATGGAGCAGTTGCTAGTGAAACAGTTATTACATTAGTATTATTATTACTTGGTAAATTAATTAAGATTCAAAACAATATAATTCAGCAATGGAATTGAAATATAGTAAAGAATTAGAAATCATTGAGCAAATATTTAACAAGAATATAATCGCTTAAGATTAGAAACTAAATCAGTTGCTAAATTACTTGACAGTTGTAATGTAGAACATGAAAAAGTAGTTAATTTTCTTTCAACGCAAAAATCTGAAGAGAAAGAATTATCAGAAAAAGGTAAGAAAAAAGTAAACTACTAAATTTAAAATTTAAGGGGTCTAGATACACTTTATTTTACATTGAGGAGAATATTATAATGACTATTATTGACCCGTTAAAGTTTATAACAGTTGAAGAATTAGAAATTGAAGAGGTTCTAACAATCAGTTATTTGATGAAATTACAACACCAGATAGTGAAATTAGATATGCAATAGGAATTGCAAGTATTAATATTGATTGCTTGAGTGGCTTTACAATTTCAGCGAAATGACCAGAAATAATATCAACTAAATATGGTGATAATATTGAAACAGCAACTACACATTATGTTAATTTTTTATTAAGTGAAGGTGCTGAATATGCCCGTGGTCAAGGAATTATAGGACATTGTGGTATAGTTTATTCACAATATAATCCAGGAGACCCTTACTTAATAACACCACAAATATTTGATTACTTAAGAGATATAAGTGAATATCGAAAAAATAGAAGGTTTCAAAATGACTTTACCTAATGAACCAAGGTTTTGTTCTAAAGTCAAAATAATCGTGGTGAATTTGATAAATTAGTAGAATATCCAAAGATGATTGACCTTCAAGGTTGTGATAATGGAGTAAAAATTACTACTTATCATCACGAAAATTAGGTGGTCCAGTAGCAGATATTGATACTACCAGTGCTAAAGGATTAAATAATTTAACAACTGAAAATTTATTTTAACCATATTTTTCAAATGATGTTTTCCAGAAAGTAGATTGTGAGAAATGTCACCTAGAAAAAGTAATTAGCACTTGTGATGATATAGGTAAATTCATCGAGAGTAAACAATCACAATTAAGGAAAATATCGCTGGAGATAGTATTACTATAATTGGTCCTGGATGTGGTATGAAAATTAATGCTACTCGTGGATTAGACCCAAATAAGTATTACACTAAACCAGAAGTAGACTAAAAATCACAAGATATAATAGATAAAGTACAATTTTGATATGGTTTTGTGATAAATGCTAAAGGTCAAGAAGTTCCTAATTTAGAAGCTACTAATAAGACTGCTGTTGGTGATATTAATGAAAATAAAATTAATATAGATAATAAAACTACATAAGTAAAAATATGAGTTGAAAATCTTGTCTGAAATATGATAGGTGAACGTGTAGACGATAGAACTTGAAGAAATTTTTCACGCAGTTTAAATGCATAATGCATAATTTGGATATCGTGATATTGGTCCATTATCTAGTAATATGTTTTATTGAACTACTTTATATTTATTACATCGTGACGAATATTCGGAAACTGAAGAAGCTACATATAGTTATCCAGCAAAAGTATTACCCCCAAGTCCACAAAATATAGCAAAATCAATAATTATTAATCCAGATTTAAAAGTATAGATAAATTGTGAACGTATTCCGTTATATTAACTCCTAACTATTCCTTTAGTGATAATACTGAAGAGTGATTTATTAATAATAGTCCAATTTCTTAAAATAAGGATGTTCATGTTGTAAAGTTATTAGACCAATAATTATTTATTATAAATATAATAAAATTTCTGTAACTATATCACGTGGTAGTGGTTATGGTACTAAAGAAAATTTTAATCCAGCAAAAGAATTAACCAGTTCAAAAGAAACTAATTTAAATTATTTAATATTTTCAAAGTGAATACCTAGTATTGATAAGAAGAGACATTTTGAAGAAGGTAAAATAGGCAATCATTCTTCTGGTTATGCTTGTGCTTACTATGAAGGA